TAAACAAATGCAGCACTAACAAATGTAACACATTTTTGCATAGATAAAATAACATTTCACAACAATACCAGCTTAAGAAGAGCTGTCTGCCAAAAAAGACTATGTGTACAAATACTCACTGGGCATTTCACTTTGGAGGAGTTCAGCATCTTCAATCAGTGCATCTTTATCACCCTCCTTGATCTTCTCTCCTTCAGGTTCATTTGTTCTAATTTCACTGATCTCTGTAAGTAGTACACCACCCACCTATCTCTTAGGTAAAAATGTGAGCATCATCAATGACAACTACTTTCCATATCTATGGCATTCCTGAAGACTCCATTACTATCTAATCATTATCTCTTGAATCAATATCCATATCACTGCATATTCATTGACTACAACTGGGTGCTTATGCCTAGACTACTATTAGGCATGAATTAAGTCTTGATATTTAATGGGTAAGTAAATAAATAACAAATCCCATCTTTGTAGGACAGATTGCATCATTAGTTATAACCCTAAGTTGAAGGCAACTTTAAAAAATATATGAATGGGATTTATTGCTTGTAATTTATCAACTAGTTTTCAGTCAACAGTTGTCGTCTTCTAAGGAGTTCTTTTCATTATCTAGAGAGGATCAATATTTGGCCTTTGGACACCATATTTGCAGAGTCCCTGATACTTGCTTGGGGCCTTCATATAAAATGTGGTAGCTTTTGTATATAACCTATCCATATCTACCCATATATTTACATCATCCTTTGATGACTTAGAATACTTAACCCAATACAAACACTCCACAACACTTATTCTTTATTACTTAGGTTCCAAAGATAAGAAGAAATTTGTATATTTTCAATTTTTTAAAATATTTACACAGATATAGAATCTGCAGGTGTAGAGAGAAAACTTAACCCAAAGGATAATCACTGTATGCCCATTTGTTATTCTAACCTAAGCCACTTTCCCAGCATGCTTTGAGAACCTTCTGATGTGAACGTCTGGGATATTTCTTTTTGAGCCAGGTGGATTCCTTTGGCATCTGTGGCATAACACTGATTGGAAAACACATTTTCACAGTAAAAGTGAGTCCACAGATCCTAATCTGTCTGGTCACATAGGGAAAACAAGCATGAAATTATACTCAGGTATGTAATAAAAGTATCAGAATACCAAAATACTCTGATCATATCTGGGTGACATTCTGATAGTGGTACATGGTCTCCTGAGTCCTATTGATTTCAAGAACCACTGACAAAAGGGAGAGACTAGTCCCAAAAAACTCATACTTCTAAGTGAGACATGAAGTGTGTAGAGGTGGGAAGTTTTTACAAGAGCAACATCAGTTTATCATGGCAGAGTTAGAGAATGACAAGTGTCCTTTCTGTTAAAACTTGACTGATCTATGCATTTTATCATGTTCTGCCTACCCTGATTGTGGCCCAGGTCTTCATGTTCACTGTACCCTAAAGTATACCAAGATCTTAACTGTATTCCTTCATCAACACAGAAAATCCCTCATTTCTAAGTAAAGACTTTCTCAGCAACATCTGGAGCCACTGCATCCTTGTTCCTATAAAATATCTTTAGCTAGATGTTTAGCAGGATGCATAGTGCAACCTGCTTGTCACAGAGCTCTGTGACAGGCCCTACAGTTGCATAGCAAGGAATAATCTGAAATGGGGACTGTCTTCTGGTAAGCCACCCGTCATGACTGAGAGTTTCACAAGTGAAGTGAGTCTGATGGTGGTGGTGGCCACTGATGTCTCAGATCAAACCTTGTATGATATTAGGGCAGGGTTTCCCAACTTCATCACACAGAAGATTTTGATTTAGATGATTCTTCATTGTGGGTGACTGGCCTTCACATTTTATAATGCTCATCCATATCAAGGATCTCAACTGCAGATGACATGATCCACCGAGTAGTCTCCAGATTTTAGTGATGCCTCTAGATACTATCTCAGGTTCTGGAGAAAATGTGTAAAAATGTACCCAATAAATATACAGAAGGAAAGGTTTAATTTGGCTCACAGTTTGAGGGTTCTGCTTAACATAGCAGAGAAGGTACGGTGACAGGAGCTTGAGGCTGCTGTTCACATTGAGTCTTTGGTTAGAAAAAAAAGAGAAATGAATGCATGTGTTAGCCCAATTTTTCTCTTATTCAATCTGGGACCCCAACTCAGTGGACCTTATAATGTACATTCCAATGGGTCTTACTACCTCACTAAGCAAAATCTAGAAACCCCTCCAAAGACATACCCACAAGTTTGTCTCCTGGTGATTCTAAATGCCATCAAGTTGACGTCCTAACAATCACAAGGAGGAATAGCCTGGTATTAACAGCCACTGTAGTCAGATGAGGTTAATTCTCACTGTGCTATCCAAGCATTTTGGGACCCGATCCAGATAGCTGTGTTTCATTTCTCCAGCACACCTGGAAAGGGAATATACTTCTTGGATGCACTGTCTGCTGAGCAAGGTTAGAGGCTGGAGGAAGAAACACAAAGTCTATGACTGCATTTCTTCCATTCCTCATAACTATTAGGTAATGACTTTCAGTTTCCATTTCTCCTCAAATTAAATTAAGGTAAGTCAAGGTTAATCAGTAGTGCTGAGGTAATTAATGGCAGTTCAAGGGGGACATCTCTTCTGTTTAGGAACAAGTGGATCTAACTTGAGTGGAGTGCAGAGGGCACTCAATCATCTCAGTGTCTAAACAGGTTATAAAAAAGTAAGGACACCCCACACACACTCACACATAAGAGTAAATAATTTAAGATGCAATGCCAAACATCACCTAGGACTTTGCTCACATATAAGCTGGGGGAAAGGCACTTTTGTGGAATGAGTCAGTGTCTCAAAGCACACTTGGGTATCTCCCTGTATCTGCAAAACAGATATTTAGACAGTGGAAAAGGTCTGTAGGGGAAAAGATGCCTCCTTTTTACAAATCTTATTTTTCCAAATGTTTCTGTAGGATATGCAGGCTGCAACTATCTAATGAGGCACAGATTGAAAATGGCTCAGGACTCTTGTAGTGAAACCAACCTGATGGGACCCAGAGGCACTGGGATGAAATGTCTCTAATTGTAGTTTTTAGTTATTATCAATGTGGTTCTCATACTTCAGTAATAACCAAAGAGCTGTGCTCACTTTTCTCTACGTGTTCCAGGTCTTTTAGCAAACCAGGAAATTCAGAGCCACAAGTACACTTAGGATCAAGTGTAGCTCTGTTTTTCTTTAGAATGCTAGTGTTGCTCTTCAATATTGACACAGATGTGATTTTAAAGGGTGATTTAGAGTGTGTGCTAGGCTTTGGGTTATATGCTGTCAGGTTTAGTTCTGATAGTCACCAACAACAATATTTACCACATTCTGGATCACTGACATTCTCTAATATTAACTAAATAACATGTAATAAGCATGTGTGGATCTAGTGTCAGTTACTGTGTTAAGGGGTATTTACCTTAAATATTGTGTTTATTTTAATTCTTTCAACACTTATATGATACAGACATTATTTTCAGATCTTACGTACAGAGAAAACACAAGGTGGGAGATGGTGACTGACCTGCCTATAATCATAACTATAAAAGAAAAATCTAAAACCTCAAAGCTGATTGAGCTCGTGGACTGATACGAAACAATCAGTATAGTAACCCAAGCTGTGGACAGTGTTCGAAACATGAAATGGAAGGCACTTTACTGTCGCACCATGATGCCTGAGCAGAGAAACCAAAAGGGAAGAAGGGAAAGAGAGGGGAGGGGAGGAAGGAAAAGCATGTTGAATATTTAAAGAGGGAAATAGGATCGAATGTAGAATCAGCAGAGGAAGACAGAACCTCCAGTCTTTATTCCCCCAGAATATTTCTTGGAATGCAATATAAATCCCATCACATTTTAATTTTAAATTTAATTTTAATATATGTGCCGTGTTGTGCATGATGCTACATAATTGATTTAAAGTTCTCAGAACTTAAGGTCAGAGTACAGGACGGGTAGGGTTATAGAGGAAGATATTAATGAAACTTCTGTCTTTCCTCCGTTTTTGCACCTTGACAGGTTTTTTTAATTAAATTTTTAAAATTTATTTTACACACCAACCACAGTTGCTCCTCCCTCCTCTCCTCCCCTTCCCTCCTTCCACCTTCTTTCTACTCATGCCCATCTACTCCTCAGAAAGGGGCAGACCTCCCATGGAATCAACAAAACACGGCACAGGACCAACCCCCACCCCACCCCCCACCCCCCGCCCATGCAGGCTCCCTAGCTGTCGGTCTAGAGTCCATGTGCTCCCACAAGCTGAAGTCACCTTG